TCCCTGTCCCCCTGTGCTGCTGGCAGGGAAGAGGGAGAGAAAATCAGGAATGAAGTTGAGCCCGGGAAGAAGGGAGGGGTAGGGGGAAGGTGTTTTAAGATTTGGTTGTATTTCTCATTATCCTACTCTGATTTGATAGATAATAAATGAAATTAATTTTTCCCCAAGTCGAGTCTGTTTTGCCTGTGATGGTAATGGGTGAGTGATCTCTCTCTATCCTTATCTCGATCCACGAGCCTTTTGTTATATTTTCTCTCCCCTGTGCAGCCGAGGAGGGGAGAGATAGAGTGGCTTTTTTGGGGCCCCGCCTAGCCAGGGTCAACCCACCGCACCCCTCATCACAATCTTTCTGCTAATAACCTCTGCTGAGATCACGTACTCCAGTGGCCACACAAGAACTCATCTGAAGCAGCGTGTGTGAGCTATAGCAAATCAAGACACTCCAGCTAGGAACAGAAAGAAGAAAGTATAAAGGAGTGAAGAAAGCCAACAATGCACTCAAAGTGCACAGATCACATCATAACGTACCAGCCTCAACCCTCTAGAAACTCATGGAGAACCAAGGCCTCAGGAAAATGACACAGGGCAGCTCTTACCCAAAGCATGGGCTACTCTGGCTGGTTGCAACACATCATCCTGGGATTGTCCATCAGTCACAAGCACCATCACGTGAGGGAAATCTGGTCTCATCCCTCTGGAGGACTGAAATAACTCCTTTAGCATGTAGGCTATACCACGACCTGAGCAAACATGGAGAAACATGGTCTAAATGTGCCTAAATATTAGGTTTGCAGGTGGGGACTGTGGGTGTCTTTCCACAGATGGAGGAAAAAGGGCATTCAGTGTGGCCTCATAAATGGATAGCAGTCCCTAGGATGGGGTAATGTCTTTTAAGGGAAGAGAGCAGTAAATCAAATTGGCTGAAATTGTTCAGACTGAGTTCAGCAGATAGTTTTGGAAAGGAAAAAAAAAATATATATATTCAGGGGATTTGAAGTGGTTTTCGTACATTTTAGGAAAAAAATCCATACAATTCTCATTTCCAAATTTCTTTAGAAAGACCAGGAAAGTTTCACAGAGTACTCTCCCTCAAACTGAAATGGTTAAGAAGCCCCAAAACAGTATGGGAAGACTCCTATGAGGGGTAAAATGTCTCTCTTGAGACAATCTCCATAAAACGAAGGATTGGAGGCAAGGTTATCTAGGAATCTGCAGTCTGACCAGTTTCACGCCTGCCTTTCCTAACCAGTCCCATCAAAATTCTTGTATGTTGGTCAGCCCCATTTTTCTGTGTTCCTGACCAATACCACTTAGCCAGGATGAGGTATATAAGCCTTCAGTTAACACGCATGGGTACCTCAAAGCTTCCCTTTATGTTGACTGATGGAAAGACACTAATTGGGCCATTTAAAAATGGTAAAGTTAAAACTAACTACCTTCAATTTAATATTACTGCTCATGTACTTTCAGGGAACCAGGTATACCCTACAGTCCTGCTGGGAATGAGCAGGTGGAAAGCGCTGTCTCTGAGCTTTTTAACTACATAAGACAAAAGCGTCTGAATTTCCTAGGTGCTGAGCTAATGAAGAACTGTGCTATTTGTACAACAGAGGTGAAAAAATGACATTATGTGATGAGACACCATGAAAATAGGATGGGGCACATTGTTTTGTTGTTAGGGTAACAAAGCAGTAACTGTTGGAAGTTGCGGATTAAAATGTGCATACAGTGGGCAATAAGGATGCTTCAGCATGAGCTATCCTTATCTAATGTTTATGGGTTTTGTCTCCAAGCCAGGTATAAAAAACTCCCTGAAGTGCAGGCAAGGTTATAAAATAATGAAGAGAAACCCAGCAGTTAAACTAGGACATGGATAAAGAACATCAGGCTATTTGGAAAGACCATCCCTGGAAATAAAACTAAATTCAATCCTCTGTTCTCAAATATTAAAGAACTTTGGGCCATAACTTTCTAACCAAGTAAAAGGGTTCAAAACACTCAAATGCTTTCCCTGGCCTCCAGCCTCTGTCTTGGGCTGGAATGTCCACCCCATGTGTGCAGCTCACCCATACACACCTGTTTTTGTGTTGCCTCCAGCATAGCGCAGTTCCTTGACGGCTTTCAGGGCGCTGTTGCGGTCACGGTGCTGGTTGAAGTAGAAGGCTGCCCTGGGCTCCTCACTGTATTGAGCAACAGCAACCTGCCAAAGAAAAGGGGGTTAAAAAATGTGGAGGGTTCAGGCACACAGCAAATGTGCGATCACTTGATAAACTGCCTTGAGTTAGATAATACAACTAGTTGCAGTGCAACAGGAGTGGAAAGAGGTTGTGTTTCTTGCAGACTGAAAACAGGCACAAAAATGGCTGTCAGGTTGGCAGGCACACAGGGCACAATCCATACGCTTAAGGGTAGGCAAGGTACTATTTCAGACTCTCTAGGGCATCAGAGATTTCTGCACAGGCTGGTGGATACAGCACAGGACCGATGGGAGACTGGCACATTTTGGGCAGCTCATGGCTGGGTGGGAGCATCTCCTGCTGCAGCACCTCCCATGGCAGCACCCGTCCCCCCCTGAACTAAACCCTTGATCTCTGTTGACTGCAAAAGGAGGCCAGCTACTCGGCTCATACTATAGCCACCTAAATCAAAATGTCTTCATCTCCACAGAATTATTTGTTAACCCAGGGTAACTTCATAAGGTACCTAAACCTTCAAGACTACCTGCAAGCAAAGAGTGCAAGAAGTTGCCATTTCCTGATCAACTGAAAGGGAGCTATGTAGGTCTCTCTTTCAAAGGGCTAGTTCAAACACAATTAAACACAAACGACCCAAAATAAATTATCTGCTGAGTCTTCCCATTAGCTTTGCTGAGTTGTCGTTTATTGCTGTAGACTTCATTTGCCCTTGAGATGTTTCACAGCACTGCCTGGGGGTCTGCTCCTCTGCTTGTCTAGAGGAGGCAGCTGCTGGCATGTGCAGCATTTCCCACCTGGGCCCCCACCTGGGTCTCTAACCATTAGCAGTCTGGACATGGGCAGAAAGGGGGTCCTAGAGGGGGACACGCACCTGACATGCTCCTAGGTTCCACAACCCAGACAGCATTTCAGTAGGTCTGGGATTTGCTTTATTCCTGATGACTCAGTCTTGGAAAAATAGCCAAGAAATGGAAATATATCTAAAGGAGTAAGCTGACATTTAGGAGACTTTTAGTCATGTCTTTGCTGGACATACACATGTCTTTAGGCAGAATGCTTAGCCTTTATGATCCACAACATGTAAGCAAGCAGACTGCTCTCATCACAGGGATGAGCAAAAGGTGAACACTTGGAAGGAAAACACCTTCAGGAAACAGAATAACAAAATCTTGCCTGTGTCCCTTCAGGTCCAATCTTAGGGAAATAGGAAATGATCCAGAAGAGGAAATCCTTCACTTTATTGAAATTGCTCTGGCCAATACTCGAGGACTCGTCTACCAGGAACCCAATGTCTGCTTTGAACTTGCCACAGACTGCAGAGGGAAGAGAGGATCTCCGTAAGCTGGAGGTCCTAAAGCAGAAACATGTTTCTTCGTGTTCAGAGCAAGAAAACAAACCCAATACCTCTTGTGATGCCAAGTGTTGGTGAGTGAGCAGGCAGCACCTTCACCCCACAGGGTAGTGCTGAGAGCTTCACTGCATTTCATGGGGTTTGTGTTTTCCCTCTCCCTGACATTGTCCACTCTCACTACTGAATGAATAAAGACTAGTTTTGGCTCCTGAGATGAGAGAAGACCATGGTCCCTGGTGGTTTTGACCTACTGCTACATCATCATCAAATCACACACGAATATACACTCACTTGGCCCAGGGAGAGTTGTCAGCAGTGCAGACACTACAGTGGTCAATAGTGGGGTCTCTGGGGTTGGTGGTAGCTTTGTGGTGGTGGCCAGTGGCAGAGTTGTCTGGACATTGCTAGAAGATACGGATGGGAATCTCATCGTATCCAATTTTGTAGAAGTCACTGGAGTGATTGGTGCAGGTGACTCTCTGTGAGGTCCCACTGTAAGAGGCAAACACAAAAGGTGCTTTTTAAACCTCTTTTAGTTATGATGTCACTATCTAGCAAAGTGACAGAAGGGTAGAGAAGCCAAGAAATTAGCCTCAATAGCAGTTACCTAGGTAAAACTGCAACATAAGTCTCCAGCCTTCATACCTGTTTGTCCAAGGAGTGTTGTCTCTGGTCCCTCTGTGTCTCCAAAGACTGGTCTTATAGAAAACAAATACATTTCTTTGGCACTCAGTCCTGTTACTCGATATGATCTAGAAGCTGCTGATAACAGTTCCTGGGAAAGATTAGAAGCTGTGAAAAAGGAAGAAACATGCATTGACTGTGAGCCAGAGAAACTCAAAATAACTCCCATTTCTGTAGTATCCCATCTTCTAATGACACCACATTTGGCAAACAGGAGCTTGGGGACAAGATGAGTCCTGGGCTTCAGAGCAGAGGCTCTCGGTAAGACATGTTTGCAAACTGCAATGGTCAGGTCCTAAACCAGATGAAATAATGCTTGCATCTGACAAGGGAGTTCTTGAGTACATGAACAGGCAAAGAAAATTGGAATTTGTACAAGTGATTGATTAGAGAGGGCATTTGGTCCACATGGTGTCCGAGGCTGAGCTCTGTGATAGACTAATTGTTTGCAGCAGTTAGCACATATAGAAACAGGATTCTTATTTGTTAATGAATAGAAAGTTTGTTGAAAAGTAGAATCAAATTTACTTGAGAAATTTGGTTGCATACAACAGATAGTTTCAATTTAAAAAATGATAGGAAAAATCTATGAAAATGTCATAATAATGTTTTGACATTTTATAAGTGTCTTATTTTGGAAATACTGAGTGATGAGTTTTGATGCTGTTTAAAGTGAAACTTGCACCTTTTCATTCTGAGATAGCATTTTCCCTTAAAAAAATAAAAGAAGCTCAGTTTCTACAGAAAGAAATTAATTTGGTGTAAATAATCTATTTCATTTTCATTAAATGTTCTCAATTATTCCCAAAAAATTTTGGAAGGGAGGTTTTCCTTCTTTAGGGAAAAAAAAAAAATCCCTCTTGCAGTTTGACACAAACTCTTCTACTCTCCTCCTTTTGGGTAGGGAAGTCACAATAATAATAACTGGTTTAGATGCATACTACCTTGTCTGAAGAGATTTGCCATATGAAACCCAAGTTTACAGCTCTGCTGAAGCACAGCTCTATGGCAGTCCACCACCCACCCTGCCTGCCTAGACCCCCAAACAGGCAAGTTCAGCTACTTTTCCTTTTGCAGCTATGCCATTGTGTAGCACTAAACCCCTTTGTTTCACATAACGGGGATTTCACACGATGAGAAGCAGTGTATGGCTACCACATGTACTCTGGGACAGGAAGAAGACTTCGCTGGTGGACTAAGGTAGAAGATACCTGCATCATACCCAGGGAGGGATGCCCAGCACAAGACTGGCAGGCACATGCAGGAAGAAGTGTGCAGCCTTTGGAGAAGGAACACGGTCTTTGCTAGGGACGATTTTCTACGAAGAATGAAGCTGATGTTTTGCAAGGGACAAGAGACTGTGAGGCTCAAGGTGTAAATGCAAGATTAAACGAGCTTGTATTGATTAGGTGGATAAGAAAACTATGACTTTGGTGCTCCAAGAACGGTAAAGAGAAGGTAGAAAGAAGAGAGAGGAGGGCAACATCCAGCTGAACTTCTCCAAGGTCCTTCCTGTTGCATGGGGGAGGAAGTCTGGCTCTGGATGGAGCCCTGTTGACATACATGGGTTTGGTTTTGTGTAACACTGGACAGAGGAGGTCTACAGCTGGGACAACCTCAAGCTGCATAGAAGGAGACTCACTCTTTTATAGGGCATGTTGGCTAGAGTCAGCTGGCAGGAAGGAGGCCATTAAATGAGCTTAAAAGGGGGGCACGGTAAATGGGTAATGGATGAGCACTCATTTAGAAAAAAATCAAGTCACGGAGAAGAAAATTAATCAAGGCACCAGGAGACAAAAAAAAGAGACAAAATTCTTAATTGCCTTTATACACTAATGCTGGCAGCCTGGATAATTAAACAAGAGAAATTGGAATTACTCACCTATGAGCATAAATTTGATCTCATTGGTACTATTGAAATGTGGTGGCAAGATTAATTTGATTAGAATGTTAAATCAATAGTTATAAACCTATTTCAGAAGGATCGATCGAGTGAGGGCACAGGGGGACTGTCAGACATGGTATTATCCATTTCTGAGCCCCTGACAACTCTGAAACCAATGATTTTTGAATACTTATGGGTCGATATTTTAACAGTATGGCACAGGAGGGGACCAGTTACATTAGATCACTTAAATCACCCTAGAGAACAGAATGTTCAGTTCCCTAATCACTTATCCATAATATGTAGAGCAAAAAAATGCTGCTACCACAGGAGACTTCATCCTGACTGACATATGCTGCAAGTCTTAAGCTGCCAATACCAAAATGTCCTTGGAATTAAAAAAAATTAAAGCTGACGACCTGGTAACTCAAAAAGCACTGCAGGGAGCACAGGGGAATTGTGTCAGATTCATTTTCTTTATTGACTTGTGAAGATGAACTGATCCCTAGCAAAAAGTTAGTGGCTGAAGCAACAATGACAGGAAACTTGCTATATTCAAAGAGGTTTAAGCCCACTCCAGGAAAAAGTAATATAGCTGGTGCTTTAAAAAGGCAAACCCTGTAAGGCCAAATCAATCGGAAAAAGAAATATACACTAGAAATTGTGAGCAATGATTAAGAAAGTTTTAAAAGCTCTTTACCATATAGCAAAGCTTTTAAACTGATAAGAATTAAGGTTGTACGGATGACAAAAACCAACCTTTTTTTAGTTCACTGCAATTATCCCTGATGGACAGGTAGTGACTCTACAGGAAGAGACACCGATAATGCCAATCAGCAGGCTTTTTCCTAAGCAATTTTCACATCTCCTTTTTCTCCCCTCGAGAATTTTGCAATGGCCAAATGGGTCATCTTGTGAGCCTTCTCAGTGGGCCAGCTTCCATTTTCCCCTCTCTTTTTCACCCAAATGAAGAAGCTGAGATGAAGAGACACGATGTATGGAAGCCCTCATGGTCAGCTCTCTGTTCTCCTGCCAAACAGGGTCCAGACTGGTTCAAAAGAAGGAACAGTGTTGATGCCAGCAGTGGCAACATCATTTACCCCTGGTCAAACTGGGCAGCACTTGGAGACACAACTCATGACACCTGAAGAAACAGCAGCCACTTAAGGCTGGTGGTGGAAAGAAATTTCTCCTTTAATACCTTACACTTGCATCTTCTGCAGCATCAGCTGTCTCTAAGACCAGGTACTGAATCAAACAGACCACAGGTCAAGCCAGATATGTCCTTGCTCCATCCTCAGATCCCCATGGGTGATGGGGCAGCTCACACATGAGGGGACCAAATTACAAGCCATCCTTATCCCCCAAAAAAACCCCATTACCTGAGGACAAGCGCCATGTTAATAGGTACGTAGATGCTCCAGGAACAGTCATCCAAGTCAGCAAAACGCTGGTCTCTGCAGCCTCCTGCACTGTGAAATCAGTCACTTTGGGTAAATCCACTGTTGGAAAAGAAAGAAACAAAGCTTAGGGTGGGTAGAAGCTACCACTGAAAGCTCGATCGAGCTGAAAGGAAGCTGATGCATCCTTTGGGAAGTACAAATCCTGGCCCCACTGAAATCAAAGGCAGAAAGTCCAGATAGAAATGATGACCATGAAGCACATCTCCCCTACGCTTTTCCACAGCTGCAGCTGCTGGTGAATCTCTCAGATGATATCTACCCCAGGGTGCAAAGATGTGTGTGCCAGGAAACACATCTTAGCCTGCAAACAGCTTTGGAGACCTTCTGCCTCCTAAAATACCATGTTTCTGGTGAAAGGAAGGAGTCCTTACAGCACTTTAGGGGTTTTCCAGAAAGCTGAATCAGATCAGATCCTCAGCTGGTGGGAATTGGTGGAGTTTTAGCAAATAACTGTTGGCAGATCTTCAACCTGGACTGCTGGGTGTTTCTCTAAACTGATCGTGAAATTTGAGCTGTTGGGATGGGCAATAAAGCTTTTGCCTGCTCGCTTGTGTCAGATGTTAGTGCTCCTTGAAACCACAGCATTGGCTCCATACCTGTGGTCTTCTCCACCATTTGAGCTCCAAATCTGCCTGTTCTGCAGCATCAATCAAGCTGCATGATGCCACAGCATCATGAGTGATGTTTGCCTTTATCTACTGGAAATGGTCAAGATATTGTAACTAAAGAAGTAATTCCAAGACAATGTACCGCAAAAATAGCATCTCATAGTGATTACTGCCAGGAGAAGACAGGCAAAGTCCCAACGTTGCTCAGTAATAAGAAGAAAGGACCAATGCACGTTTTTTGGCATGCTGGCTGGTGGGACTTGAGAAGTAATAAGGTGTCTATCAGCCAATATTGCTCTTCTTCCATCCTCGCCTCCCATCACAGCTCCTAGAAGGAGACAGCCCCCAGCACTAATGTGGAGATGCTCTTGTCTCCATCCAGTGGTCCTGTACTCACAGGTTTTGGCTGTGAGAAGCGTGGGGCTTCCCTCCTGTCCCCTGATCACTGCAGACATGCAGATGGTGTAGGTGGTGCTCTCCTTCAGTCTGGGGATCGTGAAGGAGACTGTCTCTGCTGCAACCAGCTGGGAGGTTTCCAAGCCACCTAAGAGGAGACATTCAAAAAAACCCACAGTGTACATAGAAAGGGCAAGGTAATTGCTATTAACAACCATGGTTACAGCAGCTTCTTCACACAGCTCTTACGGGATCTGGCCAGGGAGGAGTGTTATGACCTCATTTTGCACATGAGGAAACTGAGGCACGGGCGGGTGAGAGATCTGGTCACAAAGGCATCACATGCACTGCTGGAAGGGAACCACTTCTTTGACTTCCCAAATCCCAACTATGCCTGTATCCAATGGATATCTTTGTTAGAGGCTAAAACCTGGCTCAGTTACAGGGCCTCAACTTGCCCCTGTGGACATTACAGTCTCCATCTACCCCAGTCATCTCTGGGTAAAGGAATGAGCTAAGCTCCTGTTTTCTGGGGTTCCTTGTGCTCTGTCCTTATACCACACCTGACTAAAAGACCAAGTTTCTTACCATCGAATGGCACCCAGGATATCTTATAGTGAGTTACCCCAGGGAGCCTCCTCCAAGAGAGCTTCAAACTATTTATGCCAGTGTCAGTAATCCTCAGATCCTGGATGGTCTGGATGGTGTTGGAGTCTGCAAAAGATGCTGCAAAAATGAACCAGGGTAAGATGTCTGAAGAAACAGCTCAAGTTACACAGCACCAAGTTCATGGTTCTAAGCTATGGTGCTGAAGAAAGATTTGGGTATTCATGCAACATCTGCTTTCCAGACATTATCCAGGGATGCCAGGCTGTATTTCCTAATGAATCCGTGGAGAGGAGCACTATGCAGTTAAGTCAAGGGATCTCATCCACATCTCCTACCACCTGCACCAAACTCTGGTGATATGACACAGGGACATGAGGAGGGGGCCATGAGATGACGGATCATCCAGATGCATCTTCAAACACCACGGAGAACTGTAATTCAGATGAACTCATATGAAAAGGACACTGAAAGGATTCAGGATCCCAAGTTTGAAGAGGCAGAGCCACAAATCAAGGAATGGCAAACCTCAAGAGTGCACGCTGGTGAGTTGACCCTGAGGGATGCCTGCAGAGGGGCTCCTACCTTCCTGAGGTGGCTGTGGATAAATAAGACTGGGGAGTGTGTTAATATATCCAGGGTTGCCTACCTATGCCAATTCTGTTTAACATGCCAAAAGGATGCATCCGCTCCTACCCATGGCAACAGCTGTGGGTGGATGGTTGCTACCAGCTATGAGGGCTGCTTGTGCCACTCCACCATCAACATGCAATGCACAAGACCACGAATCTATCCTTTGAATCCCAACACAAAGAGGCTTGTTCCACCAGGACATACCTGTGCGGTGAGTCAGAGTCACCTCGGGCCCCTCGGTCTTGCTGAAGACAGCCCGAACGCTGACTTTATACAGGGTGTCAGGCAGCAAGTGGTCGATCTGGTAAGTCAACACCCTACTGCCCAGGTACTGAGTCCTGGCAACCTGTTTTCCTGTTAGAAAAAGGAATATTTCAGAGCCTGTAGCTCACCAGTGAGGCTGGTGGCATCCCCTCCAAAGGAAATAGCCACTCCTTGCTGTACTATTGTTTCAGAGTTTTGGGGATTATCTTCATAAATAGAAAAGCATGAATACAAAGAGAGAAGGAGCCATGGCCCATGGGTGCAGACTGAGAACCATGTTTCTCAATAGTGAGATCTCTTTCCTACTCCAGGCAGTAGATGAGGAGTTTGGAAAGGCCCTCCCATGGCCATGGCCAAAGACATGGGTCTGTGCCAGGAACAAGCATGTGTGCCCTTTCTCTGCTCACCTTTGCCTGCTCCCACAGGGCTCCAGGTGACTTTGAATTTGGTGGCAGCTGCTGTGGCACTCCATGCCATAGACAGGCTTGTGCTGGTGTAGGACGTCACCTTGAAATTGGAGACGTAGCCAAGAGGAGCTGCAAGGTGAGGACAGCATTAGACAGTGCCCTGGCTACTGTCCAACAGGGCTTCTCATTGGAAGTATAATGAGGCCAAAATTATATAAAAGGGTTAAAAGCGCTATCTTTGCTTATCCTCAGTGTCTCATCATCCTCACCTGGAGAGACACCAGTTTGTACTGCTTGAGGTCTGGCCCACGCATGTACATCCTACCTCACTTAGCACCAGGGAGCATATTCTGCTCTAGATCCAGGTGGGAGCACCTCTGCGAGCCCAGGACAGGCAGTACAGGGAGCCAGGGGGTCATGAGATCCAGATCTCAGTGCCCACACACTGCCTGCAGGGTCGAAGATCCACCCAGAGCTCCCACAGGTGCTGAACATCAGTGTGTGCCTGTGCTCTTCTTCACAAGGGTCAGCCCATTATCTCCATACTGTATTCCAGGGCTGCTAGTCACCTTCTGCCACTTTGAAACCTCTCCAAGGATACATCTGGTACTGTGCAAGTCTCACCTCTGCTTTCTCATCATCATGCTTAGCATTGCTGCCTTCCCTCCCTGGCCTGAGGGACACAGCAACCCAGAAGTTTGCCATAGAGGGACAAGCTCTGGCCATCAACTAGACCACTGCCTTTCCCTATTTTACATGAAGAATGTGCACCTGCTGCCTCTTGTCCAGGGAACCTGATCTTCCAGTGCAGCCCTTTGGAGTTCTCCCTTCTGTGAGGCAGGGGACAGCCCTTGTCACTAGGCAGAAAGCACCACATTAGGATGTTCCTCTCCCTTTATCTCCCTATGGCTCCCTACAGCAGAATCTCCCCAACTCTCATCTCTTTTTCAGCTGGACTCTTTGACAATGTTCAGGACTTTGGCCATTGGTCTGGATTTTGGGATGCGTGGAAGTTCAGTGATTGCAGATTGAGCAGTTCGTATCTGAAGCTCTGCCCAAGCCCACAGCACATGAACACATCCACTGCAGAGCACATTGACTCTAGTTTGCACCTGAAGACTCCTAGGCAGAAAACCTAGAGTCTTTGGGATTCACAGCCTCACCCCCCAGGCACAGCAGGCTGGCAGGGCAGAGGACCACCACCAAGGTGCCCCTGACATGAGGGGAAGATGATGGGAGTGGAGTGCAGGAGGTACAGTGTAAGGCCTTTGTAGGGATACACAAGGTTGAACCAGATACGCAAGGGTTGTGTGCTGTGGTAGCTACTTGAATATCCTGCCCATACTCACATGTCCTGGCTGAGGTTGTGATCCCCGGTCCCTGCACCGAGCCAAAGAGCACATACAGGGAAATCACATACTCGGTGTCATGGGCCAGGTTGCGGAGCTGGTAGGCTGTGATCGACTTGTTGAGGGCCAGCTGGCGAGGACGGTCTTTATCAAAGAACTCTTTGGAAGAGAGAAAATAAAATAGAAGTGGATAAAGACTGAAGAGTCTGGAGAGCAGCTCTGTTGCATACTGGGAAAGACACCACGTTTTCCCCAGCACTCCATCTCTGACGCAGCTGAACCTCTCTTGTAGGACACCCGTGTGTGCACTGGGGCAAGAGAGAATTTTCCTATGGTTATTTATTTGGGAATTCGAATGACTAAAGGACCCAAACCAGCAGAGATGAGCTGAAAGAACCAAACCAGCTCTCACATCCAGGGCCTACAGTAATGTGGGCATGTACTGTGTTCCTCCCCAGCATCTGCAGGGAGTTGCAACGTCCCTGTACTAGATGACCTGCCCCCTCTCCTCCCGGAGGACCAGGTAAGGTGGTGTAGGACTCTTGCTCTATGTCTTGTCCTGGGGTCAGGCTGAACGTAGTTGCTGCAGGGACCCTGCCTGCTGCCATTGTGGGTCAGGTCCAGGAATAATTTTAGGTTTCAGTTCATGCCCAAAGTTGTGGGAGAAACTGCCCAGATCAGTTAATGAGCTGGACCTGCCCTTACACCCACCATCCCTGAGGTTCCCAGTGCCTTATCTCCCATGCTACAGAAGGAGGTGGAGGCGATGCAGGCTGGAGGAGAGCAGGATCTTACCTGGTGTAGGACCCCAAGCCACTCGGTACCCCGTGGCCCCAGCAACCGAGTCCCAGGAGACCAGAGCACTGTTGATGGATATCTCACTCACTTTCAGCATCTGGACGGTGCTTGACGCCACTGCAAGACAGCAGAGTTGCCCAGTTGCATCAAGGTCCCAACAGCTCCTAAGTGGCCCCCAAAAACTGCAATGACCCAGATGGCTTTCTGCACCAGATGACAGGCAGCGTGGTGACTACAAACAACACCAGCTCTCTGCTGCTAGCACAGCCTGACCCCCATCCGTCTCTGCTTGGCTCCCACCCCTACTGCAGGGCACTCACCCGTCGTTGCTTTATCGCTCACTACTGGCCCCTCAACATCCCCAAAGATGGGGTTGATGGTGACGGTGTACTCTGTGCCAGGTTGTAGCCCCTGGATCATGTAGTAGCTGTAGGTGTTGCTGAGGTTCACGTCCTGGATGCTGCCCTCTGCAAAGGGAAATGATGTCTGGGCGCCGGTGGGTCAGACCAAGGAGGACCACCCTCCTTGGGTCTCTTTGTTGGCGAGGGTCGGGGCAAATCACGCGAACAACCACTTGAGAACTACACAGTGTGTGAGACTGAATGGCATTTCATGCTCCTGGCTTGCACAGCTGCTGGCAAGGTCCTCAAGCCAAAGATGGTAGGGACAGGGCTTAGTGCAACAAGCACAAATCTTGGTTGAGGAGCTAATGCATATGCAGGTAGAAATAACCCACAGCCACTTGGGCAGACCTTGGTGACCACCAATAGGTCAAGGCAACTCAGGGCTTTGCAGGCCAAAGAAAATAAATGAAGTAGCAACACACAAATGGCCACGTATGGGTCTGCGAGCAGTCCTGTAAGAGGGCCCACACCCTGCCCAGCCCTGGGTGACTCGGTGCTGGAGCCCCCTTGCCTTCCCTGCAGGACACTGGAGCCAACTGATGCCACAAAAGATATTTTCTCATTTCTGTATCCTTGTTGAGGACTAAAAAATGCTCAGCTAAAGCTCTCGGTACGGCAGGAGAAGAGTTAAAACCTAACCCCTGGGGATCACACCCCGTTTTAGCTGGGCAGAGAGGTGCAGGCAGCAGTACGTTGGGCTTTTGGGGGGGAAGCTGCCATTTGCAGTTCGGTCACTGGAGGGTGCCATGTCCCCATCTTCTGCTCCACCACCCCCCTGAGCACCATCCCCCTTCTCCCACCCCACGCCAGGGACCTTTCCACATCAGCTGCTCGTTTATGTTTATCTATTCTCTGTCTTAGAAGTCAGAGAAGAAAAATCAAACCCCTCCAGTGCTGCATGGGGATGGGCAGAAAGTGTCTGGGTCCCAACGCCACTGCACCTGTAATGCATGGCCCTGGGATGGGATGGAGCGTGGGAGGAGGACCCCGTAGGGCCCAGTGGTGAGGGTGGGCTGCCCCTTGGGATTTTTGCCACCCTTGGACTTGGGGTGAACCGGTACCAGGTGAAAGAACTATTCAGAAAGAGCAAACCCAGAGCGGAGGTGATGTGCCCTTGCCACTTCATCTGAGGACTGTCTCCTCAGGAAGCGGAGTCCCCACTCCAAAGACATGGCAGGCTGAGCATACGTGTGCTCCATTTCTAGCCAAGGTATTGAGCAAGGACTGGGCAAACAGCTGAGTTTTGGGACATGCCGTGATTTTTTCCAGAGAATAATTCATTACAAAGCAATAAAAACAGTTTTATATCTTTCCTGTAAAGATTTTTCCCTTCTGATGACCTTTGGAGCTGTTCTCCAACTAACCCCCACTCCCCTGGTAGGAGATGTCTCCTTATTTCATTACCAGGTGAACTGAGCCAGAGGAAAGTGTGCTATTTATTCAAAGCCTGTGATGGAACGCAGGTGTCCTGACATCCCATCTCGTCTTTGAACCACAGAAACATCCATCTCCCAAGGCCAAAATATGCCATCAAACCTGAATTTCTAACTTCTGCTCCCCCACACCAGCAATGAAAATATGTTTGGGTTCAGGGCAGGGGAGAGGTTCCAGCTGCAAATGTAGATCTGTCTGCAAACACCAAAATTTGTCTGAGAATGAGGATGTATTACAGGATGCCGGGAGATGAAGACAGGTCTTGGTGCTGCAGAGAGAAAAGCAACAAGCACAGGCACTTCCAGTCTGTAATGTGATAGTACCTGTTGCCCCAAAAAGGGGGTAACCCCAGATGCTCAGGGGCTGTGGCTACAGCTCTGCCTGGAGTACTTTACCAGCTTCTCTCCAGCTATTAACCCTTTCCAGAGCTACTCAGGTCCAGCAAATCCAGCACTAAGACCATGTTAACAAGGCTGGATACCTGTTAGTTTGCTTATGCAGAGCCACAGCAGGTATCTTTGCGTCCACGGCAGAGTTTACCATCAATGCCTACGGTATGGTTCTCTGTTGCAAGTTGCTGATTTATCCCCATGTACAGACAACTCCACCATTCACAGACCCAAAAAGACCTGGTTCCCTCCAACTTCTTGTTGCATAGCTGGACACAGAAGGTGTCAGTGCACCCAGCACCTGGGGATCTCACAGCTCCTGTCTCTCCATCTCCCTGCTCACTAATGCATGCACCCCATTCCTGAGTCTTTACCTGCTGATGTCCAGGTGAGTCTGTACCCCGTTGCTCCCCGGACAGGGCTCCACCTTGCTTGCAGTGTGTCGGTGGTCTCATTCTGCAGCAAGATGCTTTTCACAGGCAGGAGCTTCACTGGAAGGAGGACAGGGAACAAAACTTTCAAAGCACCTCATTGCCAGTGGAGGATTTTCCTGGCTGCCCTCCCTGCATTGTTGTTCCTCCAGCCCATCTGCCAGCAGGAAAGAGATTTCCAAGGGCTCCTGCCCTGCCTACCAGGCTGAAGGCATCTCATAAAAGCAGTGGTGAAAACAAATCTGTGACCATTGCTTTCCAGGACCAATGCCTCTAATGCACCAACCTCGCTTGCTTTATGCAGTGTGGGTGCAAAACGGGAGGGCCAGTGAGGCTCTAGCAGATCTCCCACCCTTCGTCCCCCAAGCAGCATGATGGTGTTCCAGGGTGTCCATGTCCATGCATGTGATGGGGGAAGAGCAAGGCTCAAGGCTGGAAGGACCTGCTGAATGCTGCCCCTTTGATGCACAGGTAGTTGCTGCACCCACCAACTGAGAGGTGCTTATCAACAGCAAAGTGTGTGAACACAGTGCCCAAGGCAAGAAAGAACGAACCACAGAGTCAAACCTCTTACATGTTCTCCCCACAGCAGCCACAGGCTGGCTTGGCCCCTGCGGGTACACTGCATAGATGCTGATGCTGTATTCTCTATCCTCCTGCAAATTATCCAGCACATGGGAAGAGACATCGCCCCGCAGAACCTGTTCGTAGGTCATTCCTGGTCTGTTGGCTGCAAAATCAAGGAGGAGAGTGATGGCAAAGCCTTCCCACTGCATAAGGTCTACATCCCATGGTAATGTCTTCACAACACGGTGAAGAGCATGCATAGGAGCTGGTTCAAGTGCGTGGTCCCTCAACCCATGTGATGTTGCTGAGGGTTATGTCTGTGGCTAAGGCTTGACATATCCCTGCTGTCCCCAGCCCTCCAAATCACACAGAAGTGAGTGTGGGACATATCAAAGGCTTGAACTTACACCAAAGCAGACACTTCAGTATGAAAAACATCCATGGTAGGTCTGGATGTGACAGTGCAAATGGGTACAAGGTATCCATAGCATCATCCTCATCTTGTTCTTCAAAAGAAAGTCCTTCAAAGGACTCTCTTCTTCTGTCCTGGAGGAACCCTACCGTCTGGAAGAGGCTAACCTGGCCTCCTTCCAGAGTAATGCCAAGAGCTCTGTGGTGCATTGTTTCTTGGACAAAATGGCACCTTTCTCGTCCTTGGGTCACTGCTCCTTTTAAAGCAAACTCCAAGGAAAATTAATAAATTCTGAACTCACCTCTGGGGATGTAGATCTTGTAGCCCTCCAGTTTGCCCAGTGGAGGTGTCCAAGCCACCTTCAAGCTAAAAAGTCCTTCTTCTATCACACGGAAATTAGTGACTGGAGGCACAGGTGCTTTGGGGTACAAAAATATTGCAGAATTTGATGTGACAGTGCTGTAATAAAGTGCCATGGCAAAGATCCTTGGAAATCTTTTGCTTTCATGGACAAAAAAACCCAAAGGTGAGCAGCACCAATTCTTCCTGTTCTCTCAGCTGAATCCTGAAAAGCAACCTTCCCCTCTTAACCAACCCCTCGTCTGTTTGAAAAGTGAGCTGAAAACCCCCAAGGCAGAGTGCTTGTGGGCTTCCTCTTTGAATGGTGTTGGGAACTGTGAAATATCTACCCACAAGGCATTTCCTCCTGAGCAGAGAGGAGGTGGTGGTTTCCACTCCGCAGTGGTTTCATGCAGACTGGGCAAGGACACACGAATCAAACTTGCACCTATGGATGCAACTCTTACAAAGAGGAGCTCATTTTGATCCTGCCAGCCACGGCAGACAGATTTATAGCTTCTGCCTCTGGCTTTATGTTTGGGCATAAGAGAAGAGATCAAATGACTTTATTTCCACCCATAAAGACATTCCATCTTATTCTTGGCAAGTAGATATGAATCAACCTCATTGAGGCGCTTTATTTATTCATCCTGTCGGAGATCCTCCCTCAAGAAGACAAACAATTTAAGACATCGTGGGAGGTGGGGAAACAAACAAAAGACAAGGAAAAAAGGAATAATTCTTTTCAAAACCCCTCAGACAAAGCAGACTTGGCGCTTCATCCAAAACAGGGAGGGAAGTGGAATTAGTGCACCCCTTGAACTCTTAAAACCCCTTAAAGTAGTGCAGAGACTCCTACACCTGCTCCATCCATCACATTTGACCCCAGCGTTTTGCACTCCAGGGTTTGGCGAAGAGTGAATTTGCTCCTTTATTTCCAAGAACCTTGTCATTACAGTCAGCCATGTGACAGCAAAGGAATTTGGCACGGCAGGTTGTAATGCAGAGGAAGCCTAGGTCATTTTGTGATACCAGAGATCACTACTTGGGGCATTTCCTAAAGGCCATGATCATACCACCTTGGTGTTCATCTTGAGTGAAATGAAGCCCTAAGCACACACACTGTACCAACCCAAATATTTTGGACCATCTACTTCTGAAACAAGGTGTTTAGAATATAGATCTCTCCGTAAAACTCATGTCTGTGTTTCCCAACCCATGGTCTCCAAAAGCTTTCTTATCCCAGTTACATGGGTGTTACACTAACTGAATCCCAGCCCGGATTTTTTAAATCCTGCTGGTTATTAAATCAGATGATGTGAGCTATCCCGCAGGCTGCACCCTATGCTTTTAAGTGGGTTAACCACATAGGTTACTCTGCACCCACTCACAACCCTGCACCCCACACCATGGACATTTGCACAGATGTTCCTCCTATCCATTCCTACCTCTCCATCCCTCACCCCTCGCATGTACAGTTTTGGGGTGGGTTTTCTCCTGTGCCCACACAGACAAGGAACACACCGGGATGACTGCAGAAGAGACACTCACTTGTTTTCCCCTTGACAGCTGCTGACTCCCCAAGGGCATCTGCATAGACGGCCCTCACTGTGAAGACATACTTGGTGTTGGGTTTCAGATCGGTCACCAGCACAGTACTTTTGTCACCATCCACCACAATCTGTCACACAGGGGACAAAGGACATCATTACACCTCCATGACAGTAGAAGACCCCCCTGCTTGCAACAGGTTAGGAGCACGAGGCTTCACATATGATGCAAGGTGACTTCCACGAGCAGAAACCTCTTAAAACAGGCTAACTGAGAACACTGCGATCCTCAAATGACATAGGACAGTGCCATCAGTGGGTTTCATGAGTTAGCTCAGGAAAAAAGAGCATGCGTAAGGGTGAGCCTCAAATAATATCTGGGTTCACAATGGGCGTAGCACTGACACAGGACAGTGCCATTGGTGGCTTTCATGAGTTAGCCCAGGAAAAAAGAGCATGCGTAAGGGTGAGGGTGGTCCCCAATCCCCTTGAAAAAAAATGGAGGAAAAGCAACCATCTATGGCAAAGAAAGTTTCTTTTAAGCTCATACAGGGAGATTTCAAGATAACCTGAGGGCAAGAGAGGTAGACACAACTGTGTTTTCACTATGTTCTTATGAGATTCTGAAGCAGCCAAGGATGATCATTCTTGTTAAATATAATCTTAATAATTAATACAATTAATAATCTTAACTTTAATAATTTATGCTTTCATAGCTTTGTTCTATTATTAGAAATCAAGCTTTTAGGCATACATCTTCTGTCCTTCAATCTTGCTCTCAAACTTTGTGCAGTGACCAAGCTGAACCGAAGTGAGCTGACGCACATGGCAGCATCCCTCACACAAGGGCATAGCAAATCGAAAAGCAAACCACACAGTCATCTTACCAAGATGAACAATCTTGGCAGCAAGAGGAACAGGGGATACTGCTAGGGAAGCTGGATGGGCCTATTTGAGAGGTGGTATTGCAGAGGTATGGAGAGAAAGAGTGCTTCCCATTGACCTGTTCTTACCATCCCAATGGAGTTTGTGCCAGTTCATGCCACATCCTTCTACCACCCTACCTTCCTCCCTGTCACCCCCAGAAACTCCATCTCACCACAACAGCAATGCCAAAATCAGCACGAGCAATTGACACACATGCAAATACAGACCTTCACTTCAAGCTGCAGGAATTTATGCCAATGCACTGGGCTGTGACCGGGATGGCTGAGGGACGTGGTGCTATCTCCTAACCAGGCTGTGCCATCAGCAGGCTCAGCAGAGGACTAACCATTAACACCGAGACCTGCAACTGGTGCTCTGCAAAATGGGAATGCAAGTCTACCTGCTGCGAGTCCTCTGAAACTGTCTGTCTTGAAGGAAGCAAGGGATGCAGATGGACACGGTACCCCGTCACCCTCCCTGTAGCTGGCATCCACGTGAGTCGCAGCGAGCTGTGGCTGTGCTCACTGACATGCAGATTCTGGGGGCCGATGATCTTCTCAGCTGCAAAAAGAGAAAGGAAAAGCCTTTGGTTTGGACCGTGATGACACCAGTGGTGGACATGTGCAGGCTGTTTATCGCTACAGTTAACATATTCAGTGCAGAGAAAGCCTTGGGTATAGATGGCACTCACTTAGACTGAGAGTGCCATGCAAGCAGGTTTTCTTTTGGCAATTTGCTTGACAGCACAAGAAGGGAAAATAAAACTGGTTCTGGCTACATTTCCCATGTGAACACCTGCTTAAAGCATAGGGTATCAGCTCCTTCCTGCCCTCCTCCTTACTGCCACCAGAGAATATTCAGCCAGAAAGCTTGAACTCTACATGAAACATCACAGGAAGTCCCAAAGCGCTACAGAACCACAGAGAAAGCAAAAAAAGGCCCTTTAAGGACTCAGATGAAGTTCTCCCAAGCTCTGCCCTAAGCTTTTAACTCATCTTCTCATGAGTTTGTGTGCCAAGAGGGGGGCAGGAATTCATTGCCACCACTTCTAGATTCACTGCAACACCAGTATCTCTTTCGGGAGAGATCTAGATCTCTTTGGAGATCTCTTTGTCTGTTCTTTGTGTCTTCCGCAAGGAATGAAGTTCTTCCTGAGACCTGAGCTGTGCTGCCGGAGTTAACCATGAGAGGCCCACCATGAAAGCCCCTAAGGGGCAGAAATGCTGCCATAGCCCATTGCTGCTCCTTTTGTTTGAAGTAGCAGCAAGACTTTCAGGATCTGGTAGGACCAGACAAACCACAGAGATGCAGACACAAGCTAAATACAGAGGACCACTGCCCCCAAGCAACAGATGCTCCATGAGCTGGCAGCTCCTCTAGGGTCATCCAACCCCTAAAGCTCCCTTGTGATGAACAGAGGGGATGTGGGAGGTCCATCTCCATGGTGTGGTTGGCACATCCAGGGACTGGGAAGGGTCTGGTTCAAGCAGGTGGAAAGCATGATACAGGGGGAGCCCTGACCCACCTTGCACAGTCTGTTTGACGGGTCGTGGTGGCTCTGAGGCAGTGAAACAGAGCCTTCGAGAGAGTTTGGGGGCCACGTTGTGGAGCAGGTGAAAATCTTCAACGTAAAGCACATGCTCTGCAGTGGGCTCTGAAGCTATTTGGTTCAGTTCATTCTTGTCAGCATCCTTAATTCCTAGATGAAGAAAAGAAGAGGAAAGGAGGACATTAAACACCATCCGTGGGGCAGGCTAGGCATTGGCAAGGGCTGTCAAGGGCAAGTGGGAGCAATGTGCTGGTTTGAGTTTTACACCAGCTTTGGAGTTGTGCTGCCCTTGGCAAAGGATGAAACAAGGAATGGACACACAAGCTGGATGGGCAGTGGTGGAGCAGATGAAGCCTCTTCCATCAAGGAAAAGAGATCAAGGTTTTCTCCAGAGGCATGTTAGAGATTGCCCCAGGGTACTTGGCTGCTAATGGGCTGAGAGGTGGAAAGCTCTCTTGGGGTGGAGAGTGAAAAGGAGCAGAGCAGGATCTGGCCTCATCCTCCTCATTGGATACAGAGACATTTCTGCCCTTCTGATGGGTAAGCAGAAGGTGGGACTTTGGGAGGCTGTATGAAAATCGCAGGATTTTCCTGTGGTTGAATTAAAAAAATGGGGGGACAACCCGTCAACAAACCAACCCTCCCTAATTTTCATCTCACATTTGCCCAAATTGGCTTAGTTGCTCTCTACAATGAAACACCACCATTATCCTCTTCTTCTGCCCTGAAAAGTTTGGTGAAAGGGAAGGATTTGACTTGTAATAAATGGCTGTATTTAGCTCTTGGGGGTGGGGGGATGCTGAAATTTTTCCTTGCCCATGGAATTATGCTGATGGACGTTTTTAACATAGCTGAAGTTGGTCTCTGAACCCCATTAAGAGAAACCTTCAAAAGTAAAAACATTTCATTTTTGAAAATGTCACATCAAAACATTTTGACTTTTATGGAACTATTTATTGAACTCCTCCTGAATTCGCAAGTAGTTTTGACAGATGCAAAACCACAGATTTCCACTGAATAAATCAGCTATTGACAACAACAAAAAATACCCAAGCACAGCACAGATGTGATTTTCTTGTACTTGCAGTAGTTGCTAGTGACTGAGCCTGGGGATGGGTGCAGTTTTTAGAGGTTTGTGCATCAGGCATCTTCCCCAGGGTGTAGCTTGATTGTGTGTTGGTGCACACACAGCATTTGGTGGCAATGCTCCATGTAACAGTGTGTCTGTACGTACCTACAGCAAACACCGTCACCCCTCCATCCTGCAGGACCCGGGCTTCATCTTCAACTGAGTCATCAGATTTCCCGTCCGTGATCAAAACAACTACCTACGAGAATTGGTGTAAGAAACAGAGAATGAAAGAGCATGACATGAAGAGGTCACACACACAGTTGTAGGATTTTCACACTGACAAGCCAGACCTTGGATGAAGTCCATCTCTCTAAAGGGATAGGCCTTGAAAAAAAATCCTTTTATAACCCACACCTCTGGGGTTACTCACATGAAATCAGCTTTCATGACCATGAGCTGGGAAGGAAGCAGAGCATAAACACTGCTGCTCACGTCAGCATCTTCTCTGCATGTCTCCACCTGCCTGACTGTGCCTTACCTCTGCTTGAGGCAGTAACTCTGGGTCCAGAACGAGATTAACACCAGCACAGAGACAGGATTCACCCCTACAAGTTCACAAGAACAGCTCTTAAAGGAGGACTCAGCTGCGCCCTGGACAACACACTTGGCCACTGGCACCTGGATGGTGCTATCAGGTGGTAAGAAACTCTCTCGGCCACAGCCTGGGTTTAAGTGACAGCCAACTCAGCAACCCCAGACCTTTGAAGCTTTTTAGGCAGTCCCATGTCAGATCACGTAGCAGGAGATACAGCTGGTGCATGGGATGCTAGAATGAAGATATATCCTGCTGCAGCACCTTTAAGCATGTGGATGAGGTGGGTAACACATCCGACCTGTAGGATCATGTTCTCTCTCCTGCTTTGCAACTCAAAACAGGTCTCATTGACCACACTGATCACACCACACTGATTGCATGGATCAGTCCACAGATTGATCAGACCACATTTGGCATGCAGGATCAGAGCAAAGGAGAAGGTGGAACACCAAGTTGCAAATGGGAGGCCCATGGGAGGCAAAAGCTGGCTGTCATAGTTTCAGACTCGATTCTTGGGGTTTATCCACTCCCCATGCAGCTGCCCCCTTCTTGTGGTTTAACCCCAGCCAGCAACTAAGCCCCACACAGCCGTTCGCTCACTCCCCCTCTGGTGAGATAGGGGAGAGAATTGGAAGGGTGTAAGTGACAAAACTCGTGGGTTGAGATAAAGACAGTTTGATAGGACAGAAAAGGAAGAAAATAATCATAATGGTAAGAATAATAATTAAAAAAATAATTAGAATATACAAAACAAGTGATGCACAATGCAATTGCTCACCACTCACCGACTGATGTCCAGCCAGTTCCTGAGCAGCAGCCCCTGACCAGCTTTCCCCCCAGCTTATATTCTGAGCGTGATGCCACATGGTATGGAATATCCCTTTGGGCAGTTGGGGTCAGCGGTCCTGGCTGTGTCCCCTCCCAGCTTCTTGTGCCCCTCCAGCCTTCTCACTGGCTGGGCATGAGAAGCTGAAAAGTCCTTGGCTTAGTATAACCACTACTTAGCAACAACTAAAAACATCAGTGTGTTATCAGCATTATTCTCACACTAAATCCAAACCACAACACTGTTCCTATCAGCTACTAGGAAGAAAATTAACTCTATCCCAGCTGAAATCAGGACACCCCTTCTTGATTTCAAGACCAGCTACCGTCAGAGCAGAGCAGAGTGAACTGTTCCGTACAGCCTGCAGAGCAAACCAGAATGCAGCGCCTTCTCCTTAGCATCCTCAGCATCCTCAGAGCCCCTTAGAAATTATGAACAAAATAATTTTTTTAAAAATGATCCGAAGAAACCAGACCCAGAACTGATGTCTGAAAGGTAAAGACACTGCAACGTGTCTGCTTTTCGAGTAAGATGCTAACTCTACGGCCACTCTCTGTAATCGGAATGGCTATGCACAGACTGTTAGCAACAGCTACCTGCACCAACACCATAACTTCTCTCCTTGTCTTAATCATGCCTTGCAGCTGCTCAGTTAGCTTATGCAGGGACACATCTGGAGGCGTTAAGACTAGGGCGCTGAGTTCCTCTGCAATCCATGGGGAAATACGAGCATTTTTAAAAAGCGAATCTGGAGGTGCCTGTCTCTTTCTGTCACTGATAAAGTGACCTGAAGCTGAGTGATCTCCTAAATGAGGTACCTCAAATGCAAGCCAAAAATCAGATGGGATAAATAAAAACAAAACCGCTCATTCATGCCTTCGGGTAAAGAAGTAAGAGGTCTAATCCCTACCAAGGATGATACCAGGGAAGTCATCACAGAAGGTTGCTTACCTTTGCTGCATCCTCTTGCAGCGTGTCCAGGCGAGACATGGTGTGAGCTGCAAATGCTAGGGCTGACCCTGTTTTTAAGTTGCCTCCTTTGAAGGAGAGATCCTGAATTGCAACCAGCATTTCTTCGATGGTCACATAATCTGTGAGCTCAATACCCATCCTGGGAATGAGAAATGGGGGAATATGGCTGAATAAAGAGCAAGAAAACACTGTTTTTACAGCAAGGATGGATTGATGATGCTAATAACCAGCAATAACGTTGACATTTAGCTGGTCACACTAGGCTTGTATATAGGAAAGAAGTCTTCCTTGCAGTCATCAGGGGAGTCTAGGGTATGAGCCCCAGAGCCCTGATAGCATAAAACAGTATCTAAAATTGGATGGTGGGGAATTTCTTGTAGCTGTGTTAAATATCATCCTCCCTGCCCTGAAAGAGTTCCCAATGGCTGAGCACCTCTAGACTCTGGTGACATTGCTGGCAGTTGAGCTCTTGCTCTGCTCTTGCAATGCTTCAGCAGAACAGCAAGAGCTCTTTAACCATGGGGACATGGTTGCCCATCTAGAGCTATAGGGCTATAGAAACCTGAGTGCTAGGGGTTGAGGATGGACTGACCCACCTTGGTTTCTCCCCGTAGAGTGCCACCGCCAGCCGGATGCCTCCTTTGCCCATCACCACGTTTTCAAAGGAACGGGCCATGCTGCCAATGAAGTCCTTGACCAGCCGGGAGCTCTCCCTCCCTGTGCCCTGTGACTGCCCCACGAGGAACAAAATGTCGGCCACCTCCGCTGTCCTGCATGCTGAGGAAGAAGAGGGACAGGAAGGTTCATCCCACACCATGCAATGAGCCAGCCAGGAGACAAACCGCTCTGAGTCATGTGAACCCCCAAGATACTGCAGCTAAGGAAGAGAGACCATGATTAGGCCCAATGAAGTGGATAATCATGGACTTCCCAGAGCGACAGGCTGCTTTGTTCTCTTTAATTTGCTCCTAATTCCCCATTTTGCTGTTCTTACCTAGGGGAAGTTTCTCATTTGAAGTATAAACACTGAGACCCAGACCCATCAAAACGTGCAGGTCTGTAGGACATCCTGGAAGCAAGGGGATGCCTGGGGGTTTACAGATGCCCAGAGGCAGACACTGACACCTGAACCAGGCACAACTGAAATTTGGGAATGCGGCAGCTCTGCCACCCCACCAACCACCCTCGGCTTCTTGCATCAGGGTCTCCAGAGTCAAAGTGAGGCACCCATGCAGACATGGGGCCACCCAGCCACCCATGCTTTGCTGGCCCTAGAACAACCAAGTCTTCCAGTCTTGCACAGAGAGAGCTCGGGATGCTCCGTGCATTCAGCTCTGCAACGCTCCCCTCTTGCCAAGCTGCCAGTGGCCCTGAGCATGAAAGTATCTTGTGCAAAGAATGAACAATTTGAGCTTTTTTTCTGTACAAGCCAGAGATATTTGATGACAGCTGGCAGGGAAGGGACAGGTGTACAGGGAAATTTATTTAATGAACGTCAAGGCATATTTCCCTTTCCAGTGTTCAGTCTCAATTGAATTTGGTTTTCTTTAGGCATCCAATAAATATATTTCCTGGACAGAAATCTCATGACTTTTAGGGATGCTTAAATTAATGAAGGCTGTACAAGGGATGTTCAAAATTTATACTTTCTTTGGTATTTCTCTCCCTTGCACATAGATGCTGAGTTATTGCTGTAGGACTGCTAAAAAGCAGACTGTGCTGGCTGCTGGAGGAGGCTTTTTGTATCTTGCTCACCAGGACTGGGCTCAACCTCTTCACATTTTTTTTCATTTTGTGTCACTGCTGCTTTGGACTTTACCCAGCCACTGCCTTGACTTTCAGCTGCAGGTCTGGAAACTCAACTCACACCCACCCAGGCCACAGCATTTGTTCCAGTTTGCTGGGGAGATGTGCTAGGTGGGTTTCTCATGCTTCTGCTGCAAATGGAAAGCCTGTTTTAGCTTGACCTCTTCGATTTACCTGACTTTTACCCCATTTCTATAAGCAGGCTCCCCAAAGGGCTTGGAAAGATGCAACTTTTGTCCTCTTCTTCATTGCTGTGTCCCTGATCGACCCCCTTTGGCCACACAGCAGGACAGAGGATCATTTACTGGCTGTGGATGGATCATCGTCCAAGGGTCTTTGTTACCTGAGGCTTTTCTTTTTTTCATCCTTCTTTATGCCTCCTGACACCAAGCTCTTCACGACTTAACAGTTCTGTTTACTGCAGAAGAATAATGACTGGCTTTTTTTTGGTTTAACTCATACTCAGCTGGGAATATAAAGCACTTTCCCTTGACAAAAATGTGAGACAATTATTTCAATTTTCCTTCCTAGAGCTCTTTGTTGCAATCTCCCTTACCTTCTCAATCCTCTGTAAGTGCTTTTCAGCCGAGATGTCAGGGGTGTCTTGGAGACAGCTCAGCTGCTTAACCATAAGATCTTTTCCCAGCTGCTGCTTCTATTTTTGGATCTACCCTTTTTCCCTAGCTTGGACCTTGATGTCCCTGTTCCCCCAGAAGAACTTGGGGGGAAGGCAATGCCAGTCCTTGGCTCCAACCTCAGAACTGGTGGAAATCATTCAACAGCTTCCCAGAGCAACCACAACCTGTATTACCACAAAAAAATCTCAACAAATGTTCAACAAGATGGAGAAGACCATCCACCAGCCTTCCCAAAATCACCCACCTCTTGGAGCTACTCAAAGTAGCACAGACAGCTTTTCCTGGGACACCTGCATTTTTTGCCCTGATCTGGAAAACATGCTCAAAATGCCATTGGTATCAGAAGGACCTTTGCTGCCTACCTCGCCACATCCCAAATCCCCAGAGAGCCTCCTCCGTCCGTGCCTGGTCCCTGGGAGTCTTGCTCACCCTGCACAATGCTCCTGTCCTCATTTCCATCCAGACATAACGAGGAGAAAGACAAGAAGAGCTCCATGGGATTAAAAAGGGCAGGACAGCGCCCCTTCCTCTATAAAGGGGCACAGTTAGAGCCCATTCTGTGAGATGCTGGGCCAGGAGCTCAGCACCTTCTCTGAGGGGCCCAGTTTGGCAAAGAAACCTGAGAGCGTTTGCTGCTTGGATCAGGTACCTGAAGCTGTCATCGGAAACCTGTGATGTTAAACATGTTTGGATTGGTACCTTCTTGAGAAAATACCAACACAGACAGCTGTATTAATCACAGGGGGATATGATTTTATTTGAAATTTTCCATGCACCTCCAAAATTACCACGTTTCATCAATCACAGGTTTGCCAGAGACATCTGTAAATGTTGATTTATTGCACTGTTCCCAGCTTTGAATTAAATAGCATTATAGTCAAGTATATTGGCTTAACTGACGGACAGGAACTTAATCAAGTTAATTTTGTAGCTGATGCCAAAGCTTCCATTAACTCCTTGTTGAATTTACTAGATTTAGTCCAAGTGAATTTACACCTTCAAAGCCTGGGGCCTCGTTGCTGCAGAACAATTCGAAGAGGGAGGACTTAAGGGTGGATGTCAGGAGGATGGAGTCAGACTCTTTTCAGTGATGCCCAGCGACAGGTTAAGGGGCAACGGGCACAAACTGAAACTCAGGAAGTTTCATCTGAACATGAGGAAGAACTTCTGTACTTTGGGGGTGGCCGAGCACTGGCACAGGCTGCCCAGAGAGGTTGTGGAGTCTCCTTCTCTGGAGATATTCAAAACCCGCCTAGACACGTTCCTGTGCAACTTGCTGTAGGTGACCCTGCTTTGGCAGGGGGCTTGGACTACATGATCTCCAGAGGTCCCTTCCAACCCCGACCATTTTGTGATTCTGTGACTCACTGGCTCATACTCAGCCCTATGACTGCCCTGGGAGCTCTGGATTACATTCCTAGGATGCTAACAAGAAGCCTCCCCCTCCTGCAGGACCCTGACGCTACAGAGAGATGCCTTGGATCATGCTGTAACTCCACAAGGCTCTTCTCTGGGGTCCTTTCGTCTCCTGCCTTTTGGCTCTGGCCCCTTCTCCCCAAAAGCTATTTGTAGGTTCACACAGGCAATGGGGAGCCAGGGAGGAGATGAGTCCTTGTGCCATCTCGACTCTCTAAACAGTAGCAGGAGGCTTCAAGGCTTCCTTGAGGTCCTTCCTCTCATATCCTCTGTATGGTGGCTTGTACCAGTTCTTAGAGATCAGAAGAGGAAACAGGAGGGGACACCTTTTCCCTTCCTCCCCCCCCTTCCTCTGGAGCAGCTGAGGTGCAACATTATTAGAGGCAGGACACTGAGCAGAGCTGTGATTTCCCCATAAACCCTAGTGCACCAAGTCAGGTCCTGCCTGCTTTTTGGGGGCCAGCTGAGGTGCTCTGTTACCCAAATGATCCCAACCTAGAAGGACTCTACACAGAAGTTAAAGCCATTGGCACAACAGCTCCACCATGAGAGCATCTGTTTGTGTATCCATGACATTAGCAGAAACGGCTGCTTGGAAAAGGTCATTTTTCTCCCTGATGTGTCTCAGCATCACCCCCAGCTGCTGCATTCATGGTAGTCCACTTGTAACATACCTTCATGAACGGCCACGGCTCTGTACTGTGCCACAGCCACCGCCAGGGCAAGGATATGGGCATACAACATTTTCCTTTTCCTTGGGAAGAAGCTCCTTCTTGGTTCCTGGAGTCAGCACACAGCCTGGAGAGTCATTCATCTGCCGGAGAAAAGAGGCTTTAACTCATGAAAAGATGCTCCCACCTGCCTACAGTGGCAAGGGAAGCTTTTCTCCATCTATAAAGGCTTATCTTGGCTTAGGCAATTGGCATTGAAGTCCATAAATCCACTAACACCTCTATCTCTTTGCTGATGGTGGCTACAGGGGAGAGCTCAGCTTTGCTCCCCCAGCACCTTCTGCTAACAGCACCCTTCTTCAGGCAACAACAACTTTAGGCAATTAAGCCTAAATATGAATATCAGTGGTGTGATGAAAGAGGGAAGCATCTGCTGCCTCAATCCCATAGGAAGGAAAGATAGCTAGAAGATCACTGCAGACAGCAATCACCTGCACTCAAGTCTTTATTAGCCTGTTTTGCGACTAATCTTCAGATTCCTAAATCCAGGATTAACTGCCTTGCACTTGCCAGCCCACCGTCATGGAGCAGCTAAGGCAGGCTGAAAGCTCTGGTTCCTGCCTATGGATGGTTTAGCAACTCCCCAAAATTGCTACAGAAATCTTCCTCTGTGAAGCAGGGACTTCTGTCTCTGAAGCAACAACTGCAGCAGAAGTGGCACTGCCAGAAGGGGGTTTATTCTTTTTCATGGGCAATAAAAAGGTTTTCTCCTGTTCTGAGCCTCACCTGCTCGTCTCAGGCTGAGCAGATTTCACGGGGAGACATGGACTACTTCCAGGGTGGGAATTACAGACATGGGGAAAAAATGAGCTCGAGGACTTCATCCAGCCTAGCTCTTTGCCAGGGCTGGATTGTTCCTTCCAGTTAACAACATGCAACCTCAAAATCACATTGCATTATAGATTGGGTCCCTTTTGGAAAACAAGGCTGAGTTCCTGTGTACAGCCTGGGATAACTCCACCTAAATGGATCCCCAAACATGCAAGGTGAAGGTCAAGTGCCCAGAGCAGCCTGGTGTGCATCTAGACCGCAGGGGCACCGGGGCTGTGATCACCTTGCCTATCACACAGCTACACCCATATCTGAGACACTCAGGACTTGAGTCCCCCTAATGTGATCTCTGTTTCTTCCTTTTCCTCTCTCTTCTAATTGCTGGGTTTACTTGCATGTAATCAAGACCTCTGCT